GGGCTGGTTTTAGCGCCTGGGCTGCAACAGGACATTTCTTCTCCATGGACGCCCACCTTCCCGCAGCCCCTGCCTCTACAACACTGACACCAAAGAGAAGCCCATTTGCTAGAAATCACATGTGAAATTAAAACCTAAACTCGAAGTGCATGCCACCAAAAATACCTATCCTATTTTTTTTAACTCTGAAAAGTCAGAACACCTCGTTTCTGCACCTGCCCCACACACTCCTCGGCTGTTCCGGAGCCGGCACCGACGTGCCAGCAAGCGCGTCCCTGCTGCCCGTGATACGGAGACGCTGGAACCTAGTAACGCAGCCGCCGTGCTCCTCCACGGCGGAGGAGTGGAAATATGAGATTGTGTGGGGGTTTTCCACACCAACAACAATTAGCATATAAAAGGCACGCTCAGCATTCCGGAAATTGGAATGGTTCTACAGACTCTGTGCCAGGAACACGGGAGAAAAAGAACAAAAGCATCTATTTATTACACTGTCTCCCGAATTCTATCCACTCTCGCTTTTCTAGGTTTTCTCATTAGGGGCTGGTGGGGGGAGAGGGAGGAAGCCCAAGCCAGACCGCTGCTCAAAGCCCCAACTGGTTATTCAGAACAAGAAACTCAGCCAGCCCTCCTCTCTTCTGCGACAGCACAGGGATGTTTAGATCGAATGAACTATAGGATCACTGACTGAGTCCGGCCCGTGTGGCTCAGTGGTTGAATGCAGACCTATGAACCAGGATGTCACGGTTCAATTCTCCGTCAGGGCACATGCTCGGGTTATGGGCTCGATCCCTAATAAGGGTCGTACAGGAAGCAACTGATTAATAATTCTCTCTCATCACTGATGTTTCTATCTCTCCTTCTCCCTTCCTCTCTGAAATCAATAAAAATATATATTAGAAATTGTTTAAAAAATAAAATCCCTTCCTTACATTGTTACATTTCTTTTTTTATTTCTCTATTCAATCTTAATCCATAATAACGGAGGTTAATGTACTTATAACTCTTCTCAAAGAATTTTTTTTGACTGACTTGTTTCTTGGATTTTAATTTCATTACTTTCCTTTTAATATTACTTAAATTATTTTTTATGAATCAATTACAAACAGAAATTTAAGTCTTGTTTCTCAAGTTTCAAAACTAAACTCTGAAAAACAAACAAAAAAAGCTCTAGAAAGACACCCTCCCTTCCCAAAAATGTTTGCAGTACTTATTGCTCTTTGATAAGAGATAAGGGAACTCATCAGTATTTCATTTATTCAGCCAAGATGAAGTCTTTGGGATGATCCGTCTGCTGATGTAGACACCGGGTGTGTCAGATGAAATTTACACTCCGAGAGAGAAACAAAAGTAGAACATGATCAATAGCAGCTAACAGTAATTTCTTCTTTGCTTATAATGTGCCAGGTACTGTTCTAAGTTTCTCACATGGACTTTAATCCTCAAGTGACCTCATACTGAAAGAGGAAAGGCACTCCTATCATTATTCCCATTTTATAGGTGAAAAATCGCAGGAATGAAGACGCTAACAGCTAGCAAGTGGTAGGCGTAGAATGCAAATCAGTACTCATAGCCATGAGCACATTGTGTACAACCGTAGTGTTTTTAATGGAAGTTTCGTTATGTTGTTAATAGTTGCCAAATCAGATCAAATACTGTGGTTAGTTACATGACCCTATTCGTGCTTATAAAATTGCATTTAGAAAAAATTTTTTGTTGTTGTTAATCCTCACCTGGGGATATTTTTCTCATTGATTTTTAGAGAGAGTGGAAGGGAGGGGGGTAGAGAGAGAGAGAGAGAAACATCGATGTGAGAGACACATTGATTGGTTGCCTCCCACATGTGCCTTGACTAGGGATCGAACCTGCAACCCAGGTAGGTGCCTTTGACTGGAATTGAACTTGGGACCCTTCAGTCTGTGGGCCCATGCTCTATCCACTAAGCCAAACCTGCTACGGCGCATTTAAATTTTTAAAATTGATTTGAGAGAGATAGAGAAAGTGCGGAGGGACGGAGAAAAGGAGGGGAGGAGAGAGGAAGAGAGAATAACATGGTTTTGTTGTCCCACTTATTTCTGCATTCATTGGCTGACTCCCTGGCATACAGGGACAGTGTTGCAGCAACCAACTGATCTACCCGCCACGGCGAAACTGCATCTGCAAGTCCCCCGGCTCTAGGTACGCAGGCTCTCTGCTTCCCCGGCTGTCTGCGCTGACGGCCTTTTTCACTCGGCCCCTCTCTGTCATCTGTCCGGTGGGGATCGTCAGCGTCAGCTCATTCATCACCTGACAGATTTTCTTACTCACTCATCATTTTGCCATTTACGAGCCTGTTCTTCCCACTCATCCTCCACACCCCAGCTGCCGCTCATTCTGACATGCCAGCTGCCTGCCCACGTCTGCCAGCCAGATCGGCTCTCCTCGGTGGGCCGCTGTCATTATCTCATTTGTCGGGACGTTTTAGTCCTTTTTCCTTATTAACTTGCCTTTGGGTATTTCCTAGACTTCTTTCTTTCCATCCTTGTTCCCCCGGGCCGATCATCTGGTTCATTTGTTTGTTATCACACGATATTATCCATCCCTTGTCATTTGACAGCTTTTCAGATTCCATTAACCAAGATGCATAAGCATTTAAATTCTCCCTCTTGTTCCCATTAGATGAAACCCATCCAGGCTCTGCCCTGTGTTCAGCCGACGTCGAATTTGCAGGAGAATGACATTTAAATGAGCATGTATTGCCCGGCCGGCCTGGCTCAGTGGTTGAGCTTCAATCCATGAACCAGAAGGTCATGGTTCAATTCGGGGTCAAGGCATACGCCTGGGTTGTGGGCTCGGTCCCCAGTAGGGGGCATGCAGGAGGCGGCCGATCAATGATTCTCTTTCATTATTGATCTTTCTCTCTCTCTCTCCCTCTCCCTTCCTCTCTGAGATCAATAAAAAATATATATTTTTAAAAGACCTGTGTTTGTTAACAATATCACATATATACGAAAGGCAGACCGTTTCTTTCTCTCTCCTGAAGTCAGTGTGCAAATTTCTCTTCGTCATTAGGTCATATTGCCTACATAGCGCTATTCTTAAGTCAATTTCAATCCATTTTTCTATCTTTTGGGGAATTAAAGCAAACATAGCAAAACAATCAAATTTGAGACCTTTGAGTCTTCTTTTCATTCCCAATCAGCATTTTTGTATTTTGATAAAAATGCAACAATTTGATTTAATACCCATAAAATCAGGGTGAAATATGGATGTTCCAATATTACCGTTACTTACTGTACCGCATAAGACTATTCGGAGATGAAAGATAAGGTCCTTGAGTAACACTTTTCACTAAAAGAGGTTGGACAGTTGGAAGACAATCTGGTAACTAATAGCTTCTAAGTTACAATTTTTTAAAAGCCGGGTAAGCACAGACAGGCCCTCAGAATAGCATATTAAATTCACTTTCAAATTAGTATAGTTCAGCATTTCAGACTTATGATTTGTATTCTTGGTAATACTTTTAAAATTAACTGTGCCGCGGACGGACACAGCACACACTTCTCAGCCATAATAATTTTTCTAAGGCTATATCTTTATAACAGTAATTGCCTTCTTAGTGAAAGAAGACGCATTTAGAATTGAGGGACACTTCATTTATTACTTTTCTTATATGAGAGCTACCTCAGCGTCTGAGGTTTTTTTTTTTCTTAACGACTTTTTTCTATTAGGAGAACGTGAAGACTCGAGGGCAAAGGAAGCCCATTAGGAAGGGAGGCATTTTAGAGGCAGGGCTTTCCAAGGTGGACACAAGACAGCTCTTGTCAAGAATGGATGGTGCAGCCCGGCCACTGTGGCTCGGTGACTGAGCACCGACCTAGGAACCAGGAGGTCACGGTTCGATTCCCGGTCAGGGCACGTGCCCGGGCTGTGGATTGGATCCCCAGTAGGGGGCGTGCAGGGGGCAGGTTCATAGGTCAACGCTCAATCACAGAGCCACGTTGGCTGGTGGTCCACGTTCCTCTCTATCTCCATTCCTACCCGGTCCATGTCATTATCGCCAAGTCTAATCACTTAAAGAAGAGACATTACAAAAAAAAAAGAAAAAAGCCATGCCGTCTTTTCCATTAGCCATCAGAGCCGGGAAAACCGCCCGCCCTCGCACAGACACGGACACACAAATATATTCATGCGCACACGGAGAAGAACATGCCTACAGGCCAGCAGACACAAACCTGCTTGGGGTGCTTTTGAGATGGAGGAACCAACATCCTCTTTCCATGTCTCCCCAGGACCATCCCAAAGCAGCGTGAGAAGCCATTCACTCATATACAGAGATGTAAATATATATACATAAATGTACGTATTGGATTTTAGAGAGAGGGAGAGGGAGAGAGAAACATCGATGTAAGAGTGAAACATCAATAGGCTGCCTCTTGCATGCCTCCTACTGGGGATCAAGCCCGCAACCCGGGCATGTGCCCTGACCAGGAATGGAACCGGTCACCTTTCGGAGCACGGGATGACATCCAAACAAATGAGCCACACGGGCCAGAATGAGTGATACTCCTTTCTTCACTCTTCTACTCCGATAAACATCCCCTTCGCAGAGGTGCAGTCTCCAAAACACACACAGAGCTGACATTCTTGCACTCTGCTAAAACACGCCCTGTGTGATCACACGTGAGCATACATATATGCAGGCACGTGTTTCCACGTCTAGACAACATGCATCTATGCGTATTAGATCGTCTTGGTTCACGGCATGTTCTCGTAGGAGGGCACCGGAAGGGAGCAGAGAGAGGAAGGCACGCGAGCATCTTAGGCAAACTCCTGAGCGGCTACTCTTGAAGTGGGACAGGCCACATGCGCTTGGTTATCACTTACGACGCTTTCAGCAAGGTCTGCTTTCCCCTTTGGGCAAAAAAACCAGAATTCTGTGCCAATCGCATTGAAAGCGCTCCCACCACAGAGGCCACAGCCCTGTTCCAAGGCCACCACGGAGAGCAGGTGCGACTTACCACGAGGGACAGAGGCCTTTTCCAGGAGACAACGCCAATGAGTCCCGACAGCAGCACCTGGAAAGACAAACGGTGCAGGAAGGTGAGATGCTTCAGGAACCTTTAATGTACAATCGAAACAGTAGGGACAGTTGCAACCTGAAGAATCACTTCTAGAATCCAGCACATGCACACATACACACACACACGCACGAGCGCGCGCGCGCACACACACATACACACACGTGCACACACGCACGCGCACACGCAGGTTATTCTCCAGCCCAGAGCCCCAGGTCCCCCTCCCGAGCTCCTGTCCAAAAATGCACCTGCACTCCCCTCCCCAGCCCAGTCTCCGCTTGTCATCTTTATCTCCCACAGGGCACCCCTCCTCCTGGTCACTCAAATCCTGGGGACGGTCCCCTCTCCCGCCCCCCACATCCCAACAGGCACAGTGAAGAGAGGAGGTGTGGCTCCCCCTTCAACTGGGCCCTGTTCCCGGAGGCCCCATTGTAAGGAGGTCCTAGTGTTCTCCCACAAGGTCTCCTATGAAGATGAGTGCCCCAGGCAGTCAGGGCCCAACCAGGAGGGGCACTTCGGATTTAAGACATAAATGCAGCCAGGCCGGCTGGCATGGCTCAGTGACTGAGCATCGAGCTATGAACCAGGAGGTCACGGTTCGATTCCCGGGGAAGGCACATGCCCGGGTAGTGGGCTTGATCACCAGTAGGGGGGGTGCAGGAGGCACTGGGTCCATGATTCTCTCTCATCATTGATGTTTCTCCTCTCTCTCTCTCTCTCGCTCTCTCTCTCTCTCTCGCTCTCTCTCTCTCTCTCGCTCTCTCTCTCTCTCTCGCTCTCTCTCTCTCTCTCGCTCTCTCTCTCTCTCTCCCCCTCTCCCTTCCTCTCTGAAATCAACAAAAACCTATTTTTTAAAAAAGACATAAATGCAAGTTTCAAAGGTGAAATCCAACCAGCGCCCAAGTGCATGCAGAAGCCTGGCGCCCTCTCCTCCGCGGGAGCCGCGGGAAAGGAGCACGAGTGGGCAGGCGCCTCCACGCCTGGAGAAGAGAGTTACGTAAACCATCTGCAAATCGTCCTGATTCTCTCCTTTCAGAAGTGCCCTCTTTGCGCAATAAAAACAATGTATTTGTTGGTACAGTACATTAATTCCATTAAAATCACATTAAGTGTAATGAAAAGCTCTCAGAGTCTAATTACGCCGGCGAACTCACAGACCCGCACCACCTTTTAAACCCACTGCAATTACAACAGGAGGCAGGCCTGTCTGGGAGACAAAGCGTCCCTCCATTTCCAAATGACGGTGACTGAAGGCCCACTGTCCTAATGCCACAAACCACACACTGCGCAGGCAGACCCCGAATCTGTCCCTTAGAGGGCCTTGGCCTGTTCTCGGGGCCAGACCCTCGCTGTGCTCCTCCGTCCTGACTCCTCTGAGTTCACCTCCCCAGAGCACACTCCACTCTTGCAATCCCTGCCCTGAAGGGTCCCCTAAATTCCCCAACATTCACAGTGGCACCTCGGAGCGCCCTCTGCAGTCCAGGCCTGGCCACTGCGGGGGCCCACAGGCTGCCAGCCTCCCTCCCGGGCCCTTGCAGCCCCAGGTGGCCTCTCTCCTGCCCTCTGCCCTCAGCCAGCCCCGGTCCTCCTAGGCTGCCAGGCAGAGACGTGTATGCCACGCGAGTCTGTGTCCCCACAGGTAGTGAGGCCCAGGAGGACAAAGGAGGAAGGAGTAGGGGATTTCCTGCACTGCTGACCATCCCACGGGCGTGTGAGGACCAACCAGCCTGTGGCCCATTGTCTAGGGCAGGGGTGGGGAGCCTTTTTTCTGCCAAGGGCCATCTGGGTATTTATAACATCACTCAGACCATACAAAAGGACCCACTTAAAATTAGCCTGCTCTATTTGCTCAAACATTTCATCAACTCACCCCTAACGCCTTGGCAGGGCCAGACTCTGCGGCCTCACACGGCCTATAGGCCGACCTTCCCCACCCCTGGTCTGGATGAAGTGACACACGGGACAGCGAGGCTGTACCTAGACCCCTGCTCCTCACTCATGGCCTATGTCCATCTACAGGTTCAGACGCTCCTATGACCCCCAAACAGAGGCTGGGGGACTGGGACAACCGTGCTGCACTGATGGCATGAAGGGATCCTTCCCTCTGACCATGTGGCCCTGGACAGATGCAGTGGCCTCCCCAGCAGCTCAGGTGGTTGGGTGTCAACCCATGTACTGAAAGGTCGCCGGTTCAAATCCCGGTCAGGACACATGCCCAGGTTGTGGGCTCAATCCCAGTAGGGGGCGTGCAGGAGACAGCAGATCCATGATTCTCTCTCATCATTGATGTTTCTATCTCTCTCTCCCTCTCCTTTCCTGTCTCTCTAAAAATAAATAAAAACATCTATTTCTTAAAAAATCCATACTGAAGAAAGGCTGTTTTAAGTCTTCAGGCCTATGTGCAATAATGAGTTGTTTTTTTTTTTTAAAAAAAAGGACCTTTCATGTGAGTGACATATGAGTAGTGTATATTATCTTGCAAATATAATTCACATACATTTTCCATATAAATCACCTCAAATCAAGATCTGATTTTCTCTAATAGCTCTAGTCTGAAAAGAAGTTATGAACAGGAATGAAGAGACACGCACGTCCACGGCTTCTTTAATTGCATTTTCTGCAGAACCCTGCAGTTCTATTTTTAATATTTGATTACACCATCCACAGCGCTATATTCCACAAAAGCAATTACGTTTTGCTCAGCGGAAAAGTCAGAATGGAAGAATATGCGGCACACTACCAACGGTAGGAAGAAGGAGCAATTTAGAACATTTTAGGATAATGACTGAGATCACGGATTCGGAAGTTACAGCAAACACATTTTAAAGACATCTTATCACGGAGCTGACTGCAAGTTGAAGTTATGCACCACGCAGATGGGGGAAAAACCGGCCGGGAGCCCAGGATTTTATCAAAACACTGACGGAGGCACTCGAAAACCTAAGCTCTTACCAACACTTCTCCTCACCGCTCTCTCCAAGTCCACAGCGGCACCGAACTCACTGTGCTTTCCTTGTCGTCTAGGGCTTTTGCCCAGACGTCTCGCCAGCGCTGACGTAGCTGATGTTTTCCCGTTATGTTCATGCTCGTTCACGACATTCTCTTGTCTTTTGTGTTTCTAATACTCCTGTGTTTTGCTATTTTGGTCAACTTTTCTATTGGTTTGCTGTTTCCTTTTTCTAGGCGTTTGGAAATGATACATCTCTTTTCTAGACCATTTTTAAACACCTGATTGAAATTATTTATCCAACACGTGTATAGCAATAACACATATGCCTACAGGTTTGTAGGTACATGTGCTTTCTACTCCACCTTACCTCCCAGATGTTTTGAACAACCACATTGGTATCAACCATTCAAACCTAACTTCACATTTTCTTGTTTTAATCGCTCATTGCTGCTTTGTTTATACCAGTTCTTCTCATCTCTTGATTTACTTGTTATTAATAATATTTTGCATTTGGCTTATACATGTCAATACTTCCTTTTTTTCAGAAATGAAATGCAGAGACTTTTAGTTATTTTTCTGAAGATATCTATTGTTCGCTCATTTACATGAATGAGCTTGGAAATTTCACCTACAGGAAACCTAGAGGAATTTGCTTAACAACCGTTCTCCTTCTGAAATAAATACAGGTTGCTGCATTATCTTCTAGCATTTCGTTTTGAGGACATTCCTAAGACCTCTTCACCTCGAACGTGCAAAACTGACACAGAGATGAACAAATCCATCACAACATGAGCAGAATACTCCCTGGCTCTTACGGCGATGAAATACTGTGATACGCACCTAACCTCCTTACTACACAAATTAACTTTCAAACGGAATACCAAGTGAGAAAACAGACATGTTTAAGAGCCCGTGGAGTAAAATAACGATCAGGGCACTAACTGGGATGGGATGTCCCTAGAATCGCTGGGCGTCTGAAATTGATTTGAGAGCAGCCCTGTGGTCAGCCTTCTACATTCCTAATCAATTCTCTCACGGGAAGCTTTTGGACAGCTACACCCTCACGCACTCAAAAAACACGTTTCCATTTCTGAAAGCATCACTTTTCCATTTTTCTTACGCTGTCACACCAAAAGGAAAAAGTAAGTTTTCTGAATTGTTTAAATGTGCACGACTAGGACCAGGATGTAAAGCGGCCAGTGTTCTCAGTCCACGCCCATATGGCCAAACGCGTCACTAGGTCATAAAGTGCACCCAGAACTGGCAGGCTGGATAACGCGGGGGGTCCTGGGGCGCCACTCACCAGCTCCTATCAAAGTCAGTATAATGAAAATGTCAAGAAAGCGTCACATTTAGAAACCACAAAATACAAAGACGGAGCTGTCAGTCACTCCGGACGCTTGCCAAATGAAAAGTTTAAATATAGGCATGGGTGAGTAGAACTACTGCCAACCACGTAAGCTCACCAGGCAAGACCTGGTCTTTCTTGTCTAACATGATATATCCCCAGCTCCAAACACAGGGCCGGGCACACAGCAGGCACTCAGATCATTATGCATGAGTGGTAGGTGACTGGGTGGGTGGATGGATGGATCGATGAATAAATGAACAGACAGATGAATGGATGGGTGACTGGGTGGGTGGGTGGATGGATGGATGGATGGATGGATGAAGAAATAAGTACAAGGATAAATAGATGAATGGATGGGTGGTGACTGGGTGGGTGGGTGGACGGATAGATGGATGGGTGAGTAGATGGATGGGTGGATAGTGGATGGATGGGTGAGTAGATGGATGGGTGAGTGGATGGGTGGATGGGTGAGTAGGTGGGTGGGAGGATAGTGGATGGATAGATGGATGGGTGAGTGGGTGGGTGGATGGATGGATGGGTGAGTAGATGGATGGGTGAGTGGGTGGATATATGGGACAATGAATGGAAGGAAGAGGGAGAGAGGGAGGGAGGTTGGGAAGAATAACCCTGCTCTGATCTGACCTATCTTTAATGGTCCTGGAGACCACCATCTCGCCCCAAAATAGCCAAGGATCCACTCTGAGCCTTGGGTGGACTGACAAAAGGAAAGCAGGGAAAACAAAATGGAACTGTGCTAGAGGTCAGTCTGCCTCCCTCCCTCCCTCCCTCTCTCCCTCCCTCCCACTCTCTCTGAAAAGCAATGAAAAAAATACCCTTGGGTGAGGATTAACAATAAAGCCACAGTGAGTATCTTCACACACAGGTTTTACTGCCGTCGCTGATTTTAGTATGGACCCTGTGAACTAGGATGAGTCACCAGGCATAAAGGCTGCACCGTCATCATTCCCTCCAGTGGGTATGAGAGTAGTTGCCCCCTATACGCTCACCCACACTGAGAGCCTATGAGAAGGCCCTTTCCTAGCTTGGTGGACACCCCCCGCCCCCCGACACACACACAAAGGAAAGAGCTATTTTCATTTGCATCTAAGTTCAACACTTTTCCGGGTACTTTCCTTTGGTATGTCTTCAGCGACGTGCCTAGTGACTGACTAGAGCCTGCTGCAGCCGTGTCCATGGGATGCTAATGTCTCCCTATTGATTTATGGCTGCTTTTAGTGTAATAGGGATGGATGGGGAGGGAGACAGGGCTATGTCCTGACTCGCCAGTTCCGGGGGTGGGTGTTTGACACACACAGGATGCTAATGGAGTTGTGGTCCATTTTATCAGTCTTTCCCCTTATTCTACCTTCCACTGCAGGTAGGTGCCTCGGTCCTTCAGCCTGGGATCTATCTATCTGGGGGACATTCTCTTTGCCTCATTTCCTTGACTGAAAATGGAAGATACAGAGAATGACTTTGCAGCTGCCCCCTCCCCCCATTTATCCACAGGGGATACATTCCAAGACTCCCATGGATGTCTGAAACCTTCCTACTACCAAACCCTATGTATACTGTAATTTTTCCTATTCATACATACCTAACCATATAAATTAAGTTTAATTTATATATTAGGAACAGTGTGAGATAAACAAAAATAACAAATAAAATATAATTATAGCAATACACTATAAGAAAAATTGTATGAATATGCCATTGATTTTTTTAGAAAGAGTAGAAGGGAGGGAGGGGTAGAGAGAGAGAAACATTGATGTGAGAGAGAAACATCACTGGCTGCCTCCTACACACCCCACACTGGGGATCGAGCCCACAACCTGGGCATGTGCCCTGACCAGGAATGGAACAGTGATCTCCTGGTTCATAGGTTGACGCTCAACCACTGAGCCATGCTGGCTGGCTGTAACAGCTCCTTAAAAAAATTTTTTAAAGATTGTTTACTGATTTTGAGAGACGAAGGGGGAGAGAGAAAGAGAAACATCCATCGGCTGCCTCCTACACGCCCTCTACCGGGATCGAGCGGGAAACCTGGGCATGTGCCCTGACCAAGAATCAAACCAGCGACCTTTAGGTGCACGAGACAAAGCCCAACCAACTGAGCCACACTGACCAGGGCTATCCCAGTTCTTAAATGACCATGACCAACTAGGCTCGCGTCATTATCATATTTTGAGAAATTGAGCGATTACAGATAACTAGGCATCTTCTAAGCGAATGACTGTAAATGTTACCTGGGAGACTAACGAGTCTGGGCCTAACCACCACCAAAGAAAAATAACATCCAAGTTGGCATCCCTTGTTTTCCAATTAATATGGTGAATAATCATAGAAGCCACTCTCCTGTCACTTCTAAATTGACAAGGAAAAAAAAAGCTTGCCAGCTTTCCCGCTATCATCTGGTCGCTTTCTAGTTTTCATTTAATGGAAAACTTGTCAAGTCACAACTTTTCTATGTGCCTCGCTGCAGAGCATTTTCCCACAAACGAGATTTCCTCAAGACAATAACGATCCTGACAACAGGAGTCGGAGAACAAGATGGGGTCAGTTATAAAAAAGGAGAAATGGTAAGAAATCTATTTTTACCTATTTTCATGGATGTTGGGCATGCCTGACACTGTCCTATTTTGTCAATTTATTGCCTTGTTCCCTGTGATCTTCATGATAAATAAGTTGTCACAGAACCTGGCTGACTAGCTTTCCTCTTCATTTCACAAATGCCGCGTATATTTAACCCTACTGTCACTTTCGTTTGTCAAACAAATACAATAGTTAAGACTAGATTCTAGCCTGGCCAGTGTGGTCCAGGGGTTGAGCATCGACCCATGAACCAGGAAGTCAGGGTTTTGGGCTCGATCCCCAGTAGGGGGCGTGGAGGAGGCAGCCGATCCATGATTCTCTCTCATCATTGATGTTTCTCTCCCCCCTCCCTTCCTCTCTCTGAAATCAAGAAAAACATATTTTTAGAAAAATAAGGACTATCTGTTTTTTCCCACAAAAAAGGAATAAAAGCAACCAAGCCTGGCTGACTGGGAAGCGGGTGTCCCTGGGGCTGGGGTGTGCTCGCACAGGCCTACTGCTTGCATTATCAGCCACCTGATGCTCTGACTTTAACTCTGTTATACACTAGATGGATTTTTAAATATTCATTTTAAAATATGATGGGCAGTCCTGGAGATGAAAAGAAAAGCCAGTGGCAATCCAGAGGCCTGGCCTGTTCCAAGGACGGGGACTTGTTTAAAAACAGGGGGGATTATAACCTGGGGCCTGCGCCCTCAAAAGCCAGACACCAAATCGAGATGAGATTATTGCACCGGCTGGAACGCTAACTTAAAAAGCGAGCGGATGAATTCATCGCTGTTACACGTGTTCTGCATTTTGGCACCGAAATTCATCAAATTTCATGGATGGTGTGGCTCAGTGGTTGAGGGCTATCACCTGGCAGTCACAGATAGACAATTCCTATGGTATTTGGGGAATAACCTGATGCTTTTCTTGAGAGCTAGAATGTAATCAATTTTTAAAATGGTTCATGAATACTTGAAATAAATGGGTATTTGTCTGCCGGTAGAACACTGGTATACAGCTGATCAGCTGTCCTCTGATGTTATAAATCATGTCTTTATCCATTGTGTCTTATCTGTGAAGGGCAGAAATGAGCACCTTTTAGACCGCAACTGTGCTTTGGTCAATTTCTCACTCTATTTTATTTTACGGACTTGAGGTTGTATTTTTGGTAAAGGATCGGGACAATTTTATCTCCGATGCAGA